AAGAGTAGGCTTCGGCCGCCACCCGGGCAAAATTCAAAATTTCCTACCAACTGAAAATATTAGGTGTGTCCCGCGCGCTCATATGACCTTATGCAGTTGCGAGTGCCGTAAAACACTTTACAAAACCAAACAGACTTGATGAATCTCCCATCCCTTCCCACCCCTCCTCATCCAGCGAACGAGGTTGCGTTCGGTGTGGCGCACAGGAACAAGCGAAGACCAAGCAGAAATACGAGTCGAGTTGTTGGAGGGCATCACTGTTTGGTATTTCTTTGTTTTTCTCTTTTTTTCCGGTTCGTATATTATCTTTTTTAAGGGTGGGGGGAATTCCTCTGCCCCAAATGACCCTCCGTTACCGTGTCGCTCGGCTTCTCTTTACTCAAACGAAACTACTAAAACCAAATAGAAATCTGAATGCAGATGTAAGTTTGCTTCCTTCTTTGAACAAGCGCTTTCACTATCTACGCCAGGAGTCACCAAACTTTTTTTTTCAAATGTGGGCTAATAATTGAGAGAATGCTTTTAATTAATGAACGTGAGCTTGGTAACCATTTTGTCCGGTACAATACCACGATGTGTTAAATGAAAGGCAACTCTCTTTAAAGCCGAGCTAGAGTGTTAATGCATTAGCTAGAACTTTTGAAATCAATAAAAACACATTCAGTTCGCATTGGAGGGTTCTATGAAATGAGTAAATTAATTTGGTGACCACGTCTTTAGCACGCAACGAACACATCATCAGCTAAGGTTTTGTTTTGTTTTGTTTTGTTTTGTTGTGTTTTGTTTCCTGGTTTGTGGCGTGGCGCCGGGCCAGACGAACTGACTTCGCGGGTCACATTTGACTTGCCGACCTTATTTTAGTGACTCTTGATTTACGTGGTCAGCCAAAGGACTTTCTTGCCATCAATCACAACCCACGGTCTTTTGCTCCCCGAGAAATCTGAAATCGGTACGAGGGTCAAGGTTAACTTGGCATGATTGGTCACGAGGTCTTCAGATGGACGTGCAGAAGGTTGGCGGTCGAGTCCTTGTGTGGGTGAGAGGGTTTGTCTTTCTGACGTCGAGAGTGACCTGTACTCTTGCCGAAATCTCGTTGTTTGAATAAATGGGGGGATTGAGGAGGCGTCGGTGGGGATGGGGTGG